TTCCGCCTCACTCTCCTTCGCTCTCCGCTCTCCTTCACTCTTCTGCATTCATACTCGCTCATACTCAGACTCAGTCACACGCAGGCTCACTCGCACTTAGACTCGCTCATATCCATACTTAAACTTACTCACACTCAGACTCACGCTCAGAACCACTCGTACTCAGACTCGCTCCTGCTCAGACTCATCACCCTTCGGTCCGCTCAGACGCAGACCGACTCACACTCAGACTGCCTCACATCCATACCCAATCACGCTCTCTGCTCACTCGCACTCAGATTCATTAGCACACATTTTTTCTAACACGCAGACCCACTCAAGCCCAGACTCACTCATGCTCAGACTCATCATGATACGATCCGCTCAATCACAGACTGGCTCACACTCAGGTTCGTCCATACTCAGAACCACTCGCACACAGACGCACTCGCGCTCTTATATACTCACACGCATACCCACTCAAACCCAGGCTCAATCGCACCCAGATTAACTCACACTCAGAATCAGTCGCTCTCAGATTTGCTATTGGTCGCATTCATTCTTGCAGACAGTGGGAATGTCTCGAGCGAGCGGTTCGCCCTCGCACACAGGCGCTCATTGGCAGATATCAAGAGAAAGACGTACCAAGAGAATGAGATGCACATATGGGGAACCCCGCGTCGAGTAATTACTTTCACCGCGCCAGAAGGACCCTCACACCTCACCTCCCTCCACCTCTGATGCTGATGATGATGGCGATGATGATGGTGGTTGCGATGATGTTGGTGATGGTGATGATGCTGATGGTGATGGTGATGCTGATGATGACGGTGATGATGATGGTGGTGGTGATGATGACAATATTGATGATGATGACGACGATGGTGATGGTGACGGTCACGGTGATGACCATGGTTATGATGATAATGTTGATGATGATGTTGATGATGTGGATGAGGTTGATGATGATGATGATGGTGATGATGATGATAATGATGATGGCGGAGCAGATTCTGAGGATGTCTCGAGCGAGGCGCGGATTTCAGCACCCCCGCGGGGGAACCGCCAGGGGGTATCTCACTCCTCCGTTCGCGCCAGCAAGGCGGGGATGTCTCGAGCGGTTTGCTTGTTTATGCCCCCGACATCCTCCGCTTTCGGAACAGATTTGAGGATGTCTCGAGCGAGGCGCCCCCAGGGGGGAGCCGCCAGGGGGTATCTCACTCTTCCGTTCGCGCCGAAATGATTGGGATGTCTCGAGCGGTTTGCCTGTTTGTGCTCCCAACATCCTCCGCTTCCGAAACAGATTTGGAGGATGTCTCGAGCGAGGCGCTGGTTATCGCACCCCTGGTGGCCCAGATTGCGAGGATGTCTCGAACGGTTTGCTTGTTCTGCTGGCCAGACTCGTGGGCGTGGATCCTCAGGATGCCACCGGAAGCTGCAGCAGGCTCCAGGAGGCCCCAGGAGGCCACAGGATGTCCCAGGAGGCACCAGGAGGCCACAGGAGGCCACGGGAGGCCCCAGGAGGCCACAGGAGGTTCCAGGAGGCCCCAAGAGGCTTTAGAAGGCCCCAGGAAGCACCAGGAGGCCCGAGGAGGCCACGGGAGGCCACAGGAGGCCACAGGAAACGCCAGGAGGCACCAGGAGGCCCCAGAAGGCCCCAGGAGCCCCCACGAGGCCCCAGGAGCAGGAGGCCTCAGAAGGCCACAGGAGTGGCTCCAACCCTCGGCGTTTTGCATGTATTTCTATAGATTGGGCCTCCCCTGGAGTGCGAATCCTTTGTGTTTACGTCTGTTTCTATAAAGTGTCCTTTTCCCTATAGATTGGGCCTCCCCTGGGGCACTAGTCCTTTGTGTTTTACGCGTGATTCTATAGATTGCCCTTCTCCTGCGGCTTCAATCTGAAGTGTTTTACGTCTGTTCCTATACATTGGGCCTCTCCTGGGCCACGAATCCTCCCCAGGAGGCCCCATGTGGATCCAGGAGGTTCCTGGAGACCCCAGGAGGCCAGGCAAGGCCCCAGGAGTCTTCAGGAGGCCACAGGAAGCCCCAAGAGGCCACAGGAGGCCCCAGGAGACCCCAGGAAGCTCCAGGTTCAAGAGGCCCCAGGAGGCCCCAGGCTCATGCGCAGAGACGCACTGATACTACTGAGACTCATTCACACTCCAGCTCATTCACAATTAGATCCACTCTCAGGCTGTCAATACTCAAGCCCGCTTCCATTCGAAAGCTCTTGCGCCTAAGCACTCACGGCGGACAGGTCCATGCTAATAGGTGCACACATTGGGAACTCCAGGCAGTGAGTAATTTGTTTGGCGCCCTCTTGGTATTTGGTGCTCCTTCCTAAGGGAGGGAGGGGGCTTCCGAGCCCCTCCTCCCGAAGGGGGAAGAGAGGGGGGGGGGCTTCCGGCAGGGGGGAGTTCAAAGGGGGGGCGGGAGTAGCTAAGCCCCCCCCCTCAAGGGGGCTTTGGGGGGCAGGGGGGGTAGCTTCCGGAGCGCTCCAGAGCGCGAAAGGAGGCAGGGGGGGTGTAGCTTCCGAGGGGCGGAGGAAAAGGGGGGGAGGGGCGGCGGGGCTTCCTGCAGGGGAGGCCCAAGGGGGGGCAGCCAAGGGGGGGATACTGGGAGTGTGCGACGGGCGCGCTCTCGTTTCCGGGTCCGCCGAGCTTGCCCGTAGAGGCCCTCAAGCTTGGCCGCTTCCACGTCGCGAGCTCCTGAGCGCACCACGCGCACATACTATGCTGCCGGACGTCCAGGGAAGGCTGGTTATGCCCCTGGGTCCTTGATGTCTGCCTGTCTGCCTCGCAGGCCTTGCAGAGCCGTGGTCCGATGGCGCTCCCGCGGGCCCTCGGGATCGCTCGTTTCGGCAATCTTCGGCGGCGCTGTGTTGCCGGGGCCATCCCGCAGAGGTACAGCATAGCCTCGGGAAGACAAACACGGGCACGGAAGTGGCGAGACGAAGAGCAGCAGCAGCAGCAGCAGCAGCAGCAGCAGCAGCAGCAGTTCACGACCGTCGTGAACAGGACTCGCTACCAGTGTCGCCGCGGGTGTCGGCCACAATGGGACAACGGGCCACCTGCCCAACAGCGGCCGCTGCCGATTTGGGGCAACACTTGCTGAGGGGGACCGACCGCCCGCGCAGGTGCACGCGCGCATCGACGGGTGGGAAGGGGGGGAGGGGAGAGGGGAGGATGGGGTAGAGGAAGGGGAGGGACAGGAGGAGTGCGTGAATGTTCTGAGGACTTCGCGCGCTGGGCGGCTCTCGAAATTCCGCCGCTGCTCTTCCTCGCGGCTGTGGAAATCAAAAACACCTGCTGTTGGGGATCTTACCCTTGTTTCCGCTATCCAGCTCGGGCGTGCCAAGAGCCGCTCGGACAGGTCTCGCGCCGTCGTGGTGCTTTCTGGTGGCGCCCTCGGGCCAAAATGGGGGGCCCTCCTCGGGCTGTCTTGGGACTCTATTGGGGGCATCCTTCCGGCTTCGCGGAGCCGTCTGGGGGGCTCTCTTTGGTTTTTTCCTGGGGACATCTTAGGCCGAACAGCGCGGGAAGCGGACATCGCAGAAGCAGCACAGTGTTTCCCTTCTGGGCTGGTCTCCGAGACCGCCGGCTGATTGTGCTTGTCCCGTAAGCCGGAGCCCGTGTTATCCCCGCTCATTGAATGATAACCTTTGGGCACGAGCTGCAGTCGGAGTCGATGATAGGGCTGGGTAACCTTTCGAATTGTACCCTTCCATGCTTGCCTCTTCGGTCCATCCTTGACCACTCGATGGCCAGCCCCGCTCGAAGAGGGCGCACAAGGGACTTGCAGCCTTATCATGCCTGCTTGCCATCAGAGTTTTCTGTAGTGTCTGAAGGCCGAAATCGAAGCAGCATACCGGGCTCGAACATCAGTCCGCCCGGGGTCTGGGCGCAAGGGTCGGGAGAAACATCAGTCCGCCCGAATGCCTGGCTTGGGCCATGCCGACCTGGGCCGGCATTGGGTCGTCTCGCCAGGGCGGTGCTAGTGGCGGATGTCGGCCGTGCGCCGAGGAGGCTGGGCCACAGCAGGTAGCCGATCGCAAGCAAGCACGTTGGAGGCCTGGGCCGCGCTGCCCGCAGATCTCCACCGCCCCTGGGCGTCCGCAGGGCCGGCCCCACCTGCGGCGCGAGGCCGCCGCGGCCGGACGCCCCGAAGAACCGCCCCAGCGCCACCCGGACGGGTACTCAGCAGCGGGCGCAGACACGCTCGCGTCTCGGCAGACATGGCGACGGACTGGGACAAAAGAGAATGCCGGCCCCGCGCAGAGGGGGGCAGGGGGCAGGGGGGGGGGACGGCTTCTTAGAAGCACCCCTGCTTAGAAGGCTCGGGCCTTGTCTGTAGATGTAGGGCCTGCGCCGTCTAAGCAGCAGCCTCCTTCTAAGAGGCCTTCCTCCCTGACCCTACCCCCTTGCGCCTCCGCAGGCACGGGCGCGGGACACTCCCGCAGCGCTTCCTTCCTTCCTTCCTTCCCTACCCCCTTGCGCACGCCGCAGAGGATGGAATCGCTGCGTGGGGGCGAGGGCGATCTCGGACTGCGGGACGTGTGGCGAGCAGAAGCGTGCTACGGTGGGGGCGTTGGTTAAGGAACGTGCCCAGGAGGCTTTAGATCCTGGAGGGGTCCTAATCTGATGAGGGCGCTGGTGATACCCACGGCCAACCCGCGATTGGAATCCCACCAGCTTCCCGACCCTGCATTCCTTGTCCAATGGTTTCCTATCCCATGCCTTGATCATCATGGCCGACGCGCCAAGACCCTTGGCGCGTCGACTACGACTGTCGATGCTGTTGACAGCTTGTATGTTTATGCCGGGGAATATGAAGACCTCCTGAAGTCTCCAGGGGCCTCGGGTGACCTGCAGGGACCTCCTTAGGGAAGTTTGGTGACCTCGGAGGCGCCCACAAGATCGTGACATCTGTTTTGTCGTCTTTTTCGGCTGAGGGAGGCTGATCACTGACCTCGGGAACATCAAAACCTGACTCGCTGCACCGTGCGGGGGTACAGGGTGGCGGATGTTGGAGAATTTGGCAACTGCGGCATTTCTGTTCGCCGTGGTCAACTCTATGCGCGATTCTTTTGCAGCCGTGGTGCCTAGAGTGGGCAAGGTATCTTCTGATTGCGAGTCCGTTTACGAGAATAAGATTCTGTCATTTGCAGATCGCCTGGATGACGTGAAAAACGGCGTTGTCCGCGACGACTCTCGCTTGATATCGCCTGTGCAATTTATCACTCATTGTTTGGAGGACGAGGTGGACAGATTTTCTGCGCTATACTACGAGATCTTGTTTGACGACAACCGGACCCACGGCCTCGCCCTCTTCCTGTTTTTATGCCGCCTGCTCGACATATGCATGGCCTTCCGGGGGACCGCCTGGATCGGCTTCACCGTTGCGCTTGCAGCGCGAAAGTTGATGTACTTTTTGGTTTTGTATGTGCTTGTAATATGTTGCTTTGGCGCCATTATGGAGGTGTCGTTTGGCAACAACTTCCTGCAGTTTAGGTCCCTCCCCCAAGCTTGCCTCGCACTGATATTGTTCACTTTCGGCCAGTCCGAAAATGCATTCAGGGGGGTTTACCCCATGGAGGAGTATCACGGCTTCTGGGTGTCGATCTACATGCTGGTATTCGCGATCATGGTTATCACAGTGGCTATGCAATTCTTCGTCTCCATTGTTCTGGATGCTTACAATATTGTCCAAGATGAGCAGCTCTACTTGGAGAAGGACCACGAGGAGTTTCTCAAACTGTATACGTCTATCGCCACGCTGTTCTTCCCCAAAGCCATGCGAGACGGCCGCGACTACCGCAGAGAACTCCGGAAGCGGTCGTTTTACCACCTTTCGCAACTGCTAGGCAAAGCCCGAGTGCGCGCGGAAACGTGGAGCCATCCCAGGCCCCGCGGGGACGTTCACCGCACACTGGCACCGATCCTGGCCAAAAGCCAGCCGCGGGGGCCGAGGACTGCCCCTGAGATCCGACGCTGCAGAACAAATACCAACTACCAGAGCCCCAGACCCCATCTTTCTGCCGCGGGCTTCGAGCCGGATCGGTCTGTGAGGGTCCTGGTGCCCGAAGCCTGGCGACAGCGCCCGGCGTGAGCCAAGACTGCGATCCCGAGTCTCGGGAGCTGCCTTTCCCAGACCGGCCGTGCGCGAGAGGCCTCGGACCCTCGATCCTCGATGGGTGGGCCGATTTTCCACAACCGCTACCATCGGCAGGAGAGGGAGGCGGGAGGAGCAGGAAGAGGAGGAGGAGGAGGAGGAGGAGGAGGAGGAGGAGGACCTCCCCTTCCTCCCTCCTCCCCCGTCCTGCTTCTGGCAGTGGTGGTGGGAAAGCAGCCCATCCTCGATCGGTGCTGGTGCCTGGGCCGCCCGCCGGGGCGCGAAGGTGCTCGGGCCTCGCGCGCCGCGGCCTGGGCCGGAGCGGCGGCCCTGCCCCAAGGGGGCGCCGCGAGGGCGCGAGGCTTTGTTCTGGACGCCCGAATCATCAGGGGTAACTCGGGTCAGGGATAACTCGGGTTCGGTTTTCGGGAATCCAAACCCGAGTTACCCCGGACCCGAGTTACCCCGGATAACTCGGGCGTCCAGAGCCCCGAATCATCAGGGGTAACTCGGGTCAGGGCTAACTCGGGTTCCTTTTTCGGGAATCCAAACCCGAGTTACCCCGGACCCGAGTTACCCCGGATAACTCGGGCGACCAAGACATGGGTACCGAAAGAATGGGCACGATGCCCAACAGCAGTTCCTGTTCATTTTGAACAGGACTCGCTGTCCGCGCCGCCGCGGCCTGTGTCCATTTGAGACAGAAGGCCGCCTGCCCAACAGCGGCCGCTGTTGGTTCGGGGCAACATTTGTTTTTTGGGCATGTTGCCCATTCTTTCGGTACCCATTTCGGGTGTCCAAATTTGTGGGCCCCGGAAACGGCAGGGCCGTTTCTCCACCGTTTCCCCCAAAAATGCCCATGAAAATGGACACGGCAACAAAAATGGCGACCAGAAGCGGCAAAACAAACGGCTCCAAGATAGGAGCTGGAGCCGGAACTGGTCAAAGAACGGCGCCGGAACCGATAACAAAAAACGGCGTCGGAACCGGCAAAAAACGGCGAAGCGGAGCCGGTAAAAAAACGGCCCTGCCGTTTCCAGGGCCCACTCAGGCGCGAGGGCGCGAAGCTCACAGCGCGTCGCGGGGCACGATGCGCGAAGCTTGGCGGCCCGAAGTTGGAGGATTGGAGCTTGGCACCAACACCAGCACAGGTGGTCGCCTTCACCAGGGGAGGAGGATCCCAGATTCGGTTGTTGGTGGTACAGTCGGGGCGCTGAATAAGGAAGGCTTTTCGTTGGGGAGGGGCTCCGTGTTCCTTAAAATTGCTTCGCAGTTTGCCTTGGATTTTCCTTAGGTTTTCGATACGAAGTCGAAGTTCAACTTATGGAAAATAGGGGCCTCGTTCCTTATTTAGGGTTCCTTAGGTCAACGCCTCGACTGTAAGCCTTCTCAGGAGGGGAAAAACGACACAGACACAATTAATCGTCGACTCCCAGCAAAAAGTATAGGAGCACATGGGAAGTGGAGGGGGAAAACGAAAAGCCAGAAACTATGGGCAAACATGGAGAATCTTGGAATCTGTGTCAATTTTATGGGTGTGTCCCTGGGCCCCTTTTACCTTCGGCCACTCCGAAGCCCGAATACGACCGCCGTCACCGAGGTCGGGATCCTCTCCCCTCGGCGGAGGCAGACGGCCGATCTTGCCGACTACGCGTGAGGGTGACCTTTCGCCGAAGTGACCTCTGGTGCGGGCCCAATTGGGCCCCCCGATCGCCAGACGCGATGCGATAGCAGCGGCTTGCGCGCTCGAGTTTGGTCCCCCCGCGCCCCCCAACAAAAAATTCCGCGCGCCGAAGGTCGCTCTTGCAGTGGAGACCCGTGCCAAGAAACACCCTGCTTGCCTCCAGGGTGCCCTGGGTTTCTTGGGCTTCGATGCCTTTGCGATGGAAAGCGCGACGGTCCCACACCAACAATCCATGGACGTCCTTGTGTCTCAGGGTTGGGTTTCTTGTGGTAGGTTTCTTGTGGACTGGCCTCCGCTGTACCCAGGGTCACTCTTGCGTGCAGTCGGTATCGGTGCTGGTGTCAACCTCCAGGCCTCCGATCAGGTGCAGCTGGCGGCCCTCCCCTCCTTCGCAGACAGCTTTTGCTCCCCCTCCCCCCCGACGTTTCGGCGGAAACTGAAGCCGCTCAGGACAGGAGGGGAACCCTGGGATACACCCCAAGAGGAAGCTCCTCGGACGCACCCCCTCGAGGACGGACGCCCCCCCCCATCGAAGATTCCCAGGGCCGGGCCCAAACCTTCTGGTCGAGTCGAAAGCCCCACGAAGCTCGGGGCGGACGAAAGGGGGGGATTGGGAAAGGGGGGGTTACGAAATTTGCTGCATGCAGCTGGTTTCGGCCCCACCGAGGGGCCCATTCCTCGATACATAGCCGCCTCTGGGGCCGGGAGGCGCCGGGAAAATCAGCTACGTGAGCTGATTCTCAACCCCCCCTTTGCTATCCCCCCCTTTCGCCCGACCCGAGAAGCCTGGGGGTAGGGGCCGACATATCCCCGGTTACACCTTAGGCGATGCTTAAGAAAACTTAAGTTTTCGGCCAGAGTCTCGATGATTCTGAACGTTTCAATGCAAACCTAGTTTTTGAATAGACATGCTGGGTGTTCTTTATTCAAATTCTGAGACTATGAATTTCTTGACCCATGATTTCTTTGGCATTTCGCAGGGTGTACTCCTCCCTCAGGCACAGGAGGAGGAGGAGGAGGAGGAGGAGGAGGAGGAGGAGGAGAAAGGAGGAGGAGGAGGAGGAGAAAGGAGGAGGAGGAGGAGGAGAAAGGAGGAGGAGGAGAAAGGAGGAGGAGAAGGGAGGAGGAGGAGAAAGGAGGAGGAGGAGGAGGAGGAGGAGGAGGAGGAGCCTCAGGCACCGCGGGGACCTGGAGCTCCAGGAGCTGCCAGACCCCACGCACGCCGCCAGCGCGCCCGCCGTGGAGGCCTCCGCCTCTGCACGGCACAGGCCGCGGCCCGCGGACGGGGGCCGGAGCTCGGAGGAGGAAAGGCCACCAGAGCCTTCGAGTCTCGAGGGACGGGGGTCCATCCCCTCCCTCCCCCTCCCTCTCCCTCCCTCTCTCCCCCTCCCTCTCGTCGCCTCCCCCTGCCCTCTTCTCCCCTCCCCCCTCCTCTCCTCCCCTCCCCCTCCCCCTCCTCCTGTCCTGTGGAGTGGGGCCCTCCTTCGCCGGGCCGCTGGACTCCCCCCCCCGCCTCCGTCGGGGGCCTTGCGGCGGGGGTCACTGCAAACGGGGGTCCATCCCCTCCCTCCCCCAGGAAGGAACGCTGTGAGCACTTGGGGGGGGGGAGAGCAAGGAAGCGAGCAAGAATAGGGTAGTAGACGTTGTCGGCGTTACAAGTGGTCACATTCGTCGCGCACCGATGCGCACAGCATGGCATTGCATGGCATAGCATGCATACCATAGCAAAGCGAAAACAGGCTGGTCCTTCGTGCGATTACGAATTGAACTCGTGCTTTCATGGGAAGTCGAGCCCAAATCCAAAAATCAGAGAAAAAAACAGAAAATCCGTAACAAAATAAAGAAACCATTGTTTTGCTAAGAAAAAATACGGAAAATCAAATCGAAACCTTGGTTTTGATTGTTTTTGTTTCTGGATTTTTTCTTGAAGAACCAATGGTTTCTTTTTGATTTTTTACGGATTTTCTGGATTTTCTGTTTTTTCTGTTTTTTTTTATTTTCCTTCGCCCTTCTTTCCCTTGGACCCTTTTCTGTCTGACACCGAAAATTAGAAAAAAACAGAAAAACCAGACAAAAAACAGAAAATCCGTAACAAATTAAAGAAACCATGTTTTTTTTTTTTAAGAAAAAACGGGAAATCCAATCGAGACCTTGATTTTTTCCGGATTTTTTCTTGAAAAACAAACGGTTTCTTTGATTTTTTACGGATTTTCTGTTTTTTGTTATTTTTGTCTTTCGCCCTTCTTTCCCTTAAACCCGTCTCTTTCCGAGCCCCGAGAATGAAAGAAAGCCAACGAAAGAAACATAAATATTAGTATGATGAGGAGGAAGGGGTCTGAGGAAGAGATCTTTGATTATGGAAGCGAAATATTTGACTGGAGATAATTTTAAAAATGTGCAAACTCGGGGGGGGGGGCTCGTAGCTTTAAAATGCGTGTTCTTGAAGGGGGAAATGCTGTCAAAATTTGCAAAACATGTTTTTCTTGAGGTTCTGGAGATTGACGCGGAGGACCATCATATATATATATATATGCCTGGGTTTAAGGTTTTCGTGTCGTGTTGCAGAACAGACGCGTTGCCAGAACGTCACCAATGACAATGTCCGCTCGCGCGCGCCACGCCGCAGGCACACCACGGGCACACCGCTAGCAAACTTGCACAAAAGCGCACCGACATGCATGAATACGCGCAACCACTGTTTGAATGTGTACGAAACGTCTGCATGTTTTGGGTGTGCCCGCGGGGCTTGCTTTTGAGGCTGACGCGGAGGAATCATCCTCTGTTCCTTTAACGAAAAGAACCATGTTTTCCTCCTAGCCAGTCTGCAAAACATGTCCAGCCAACACATCGAAAAACATGCAGACGTATCACATAAATAACGTAAGTGCTTCCATGTGCTTGTGGGTGTTGGTGCGCGTTTGTGCCCAGTGTGGTGGTGGTGTGCCCGCTGTGTGCCTGCGGTGCGGCTTCCGCAAACGAGGGAACAGTTCATTCTTTCGTAAGGAAGGTTGCGCATTTTCGGTGTCCTTGCGGGGCAGACGGGGCCCCAGGAACGCCACGGGAAAGCGGCCAGTCTTCGACTTCACTTGTTTTAAAGAGTTGTTGTATCATAAATTGCTTACGCTCCCGCCGAGAAGCTCTTCCACTTCTAATATATGTATATATAATTGCGTGTATATATATATATAAAGAGTAGACGGCCGTCCTCCTCCACCCACCCCTCATCTCTCGCTTGCCGCATCGGGGCTGGTGCCGAGCTCCTGCGCCGGCGGCTTACGTCCGGCATGGGGGAGGGGGAACCGACGCGAACGAATGAGGGGGCAGGGGGCCCTTCGAACGCTGGCGCGATAGAAGGGCGGAGAATCGACCAGTGGAGGGGGAGGGAGGACGGAGAGAAGGAGGATAAAGGGGTGAGGGGGAGGAGGAGAGGGAGGACGAATTGGAAGTGTATGAATAGTAGAAGGAGGAGAGAATCGAGGACGACGAGGGCAAGGTTAGTGATCCGCGACGCAGGGCAAGGTTAGTGCTCGTATGACTAGGTCTCTCTTGGGCCGTCTTGGATTTAAAAACCCTCTTGGGGGCCTCATGGGCAGTCTTGAGACGATCTTGAGGCCTTCCTGGCCGTGCAGGAATCAAACGTATGTATATTTGCACCGTAGCATCAACCGCTTTGGTTCAAACTGGGCCTTGAAGGTCAGGTTTCGCACCAACCCCAAGATGTACTTCAAGACGTTGCTTTCCAAGAGCGCCGGGCGGACGCTACATGCGTCTCTGCCTGTCCTTGGAGCGGCAGCGTTGCCATCTATCTCAGTGAAAGATGTCGGCCACAGCTCTTGGCCGCGCCCCTTCGGCCACTTGCGTTTCTTCGACAAGGCCTACGACACCAACAGGTTCGCGTACTGCATGGAGGACGGCGGCAAACGTGCACGTCGCGGACCACACGTCGGAGGTCTGCCCGCTCTGGAGGCCGACGCACCAGTGCATCAAGGTGGTTTGCCCTCTTCAGGGAGTCACCCCTGACTTACTCGTGCGCGATGGCATGTGCTCCTTCAAAGCATGGGTGCAGAAGAGGCACAAACAATTCTATGGTGGCATTAAGCTCTGGTGTGTGGACGAGTTCCATCGACCGAATCACAAGTTCGACTGTCCCTGCCGCCGCGTCACACCTGCTGCGAAAAAAGCGTCTCGACAAGATCAACACGTCGTCCGCGGAGCAGTTCAACTCCTTCATCAGACGCTTCAACTTATTCCTGAATAGCCTGCGCCCAAGCTCTCATCGCCTGTGGGTGAAGGAAGTCATTTGCCACTGGAACAACCGCAAGGAGAGTATCAGAGGCAGTGCATTTGCCCGAAAGCGCCGCAATGCAGCTCAACGGGCGGCGACCAAGGAGGCCGTCACGAAGAAGCCCGCGCGCGCTACTTTTCTCAGCAAGTGCCGCAAGACCAAGAAGGCCGCCATGAAGAAGCACGCGCGCCAATGAGTAACTTGTGTTACTGGGTTTAGGCGCGCCTTAACCGGGCATTGTAACCGTTGTATATATTTGGTTTTCGGTTACAGGGGGGGGCTCTGAAGCGCGCTCCAGATTTCCCAGGGAAGAAAAATGGCCACTTCCATCTCGCGTCTTATATATATATATATATATATATATATATATTCTCTCTCTCTGCTGCCCTCTTTATCAGCTTCGCATTTTTTCCTAAAGCAACCCCAGGTGCTCACAGCGTTCCCCTCTCCCCTCCCCCTCCCTCTCCCTCCCCTCCTCTCTCCCCCTCCCTCTCGTCGCCTCCCCCTCCCCTCTTCTCCCCTCCCCCCTCCTCTCCTCCCCTCCCCCTCCCCCTCCTCTTGTCCTGTGGAGTGGGGCCCTCCTTCGCCGGGCCGCTGGACTCCCCCCCGCCTCCGTCGGGGGCCTTGCGACGGGGGTCACTGCAAACGGGGGTCGGCCCGAGCGTCGGGATCTTGCAGGATCCTGCAGAGCCACGGCCGCATTGACCCAGACTAGGGCGCGGGATCCTTCAGGATCCTTCAGGCTCTCGCAGGATCCTGCAAAGCCTGACTGGCCCGGGTCTGGATGGACCCGGGTCCGTAGATCCCAGAATCCTGGCGTTGCAATTTTCTCAGCCCGCGTTTTCGTCCCAGTTTCGGGCCTAGGAGCCTTCGCGTATCCATCCAGTTTGAAAAATGGCGCAGGCAGGTGGGGTTCAGCAAGGCGGGGCTGGGACGACCATAAATCCGCTCCAGAGCGTTAGCGTTCCAGAACGCTCTCAGAGCGTTCTGGAAAGCTCTGGGAAGGCCGCGGCGCCCGAGACATCCTCCAAAGCTTATCGATGTCAGAGATCCTCATTGTCCTCCCCAGATTTTAACCTCGTCCTTGCTCCGTCTTACTTGTAGTTTTCTCAGCCGGCGTTGTCACTCCCAGTTTCGGGCCCGGGAGCCCTCACGGATCCGTCCAGTTCGAAACGTGGCGCAGAAAAAAGCGGGAGCCAGCCAGGGGGTGCTAAGGCGAGGACAAATCCGTTCCAGAGCTTTTCGGAGCGCTCTACGAGCGCTCTACGAGCGCTCCGCCACAAATCCGCTCCAAAGCGTAGTTGTGTCCTCATCCAGCTTTGCCCTCGCCCCGGCCTCGTCTTATCTGAGGCCCGGGCCGTGGTTTCTCGCGAGGCTGCGATGGTCCGCAGCGTCGGAGCTCAGGGAGGTGGCGTCGAGGGGGGGGAAGAGGGGGGGAGGAGGAGGAGGAGGAGGAGGAGGAGGAGGAGGAGGAGGAGGAGGAGGAGGAGGAGGAGGAGGAGGAGGAGGAGGGGGAGGAGGAGGAGGAGAGGGATTGGATTGGACACTTCGAGGGACAAGGCTGGGCCTTCCAGCAACGAAGGTTGGAGAGCAGACCCAGCGCCGCTCAGCGGCACTGGGCCCGTCTTCCAACCAACATGCCAGCAGGATCAACCTACAGAGAACACCGCCGTCTGCAACATGGTCCCGCGCAGGCTACAACTAGCCGGCCGCGCGCGCTCGGCAGGCCATTGCGCCGAACCGGCGCGCCCTCACACAGGCGATGCATTCAGGAACGCCAGGCACAAGATCTCCTGCGCCACTGCCGGACGTCCTGTTTATAGCCTTGATGCTCTTGCTGACAATGTCTGGCACACCGAAACGTGCAGCACGGAGATCGGCGAGAGCAGTACGATGAGCCAGACGCCCTGCACCCACAGGACGCACCTCATCACCAGGAGCACCGCGCTCATGAGGCTGCACATCTCCCGCGGCGGTGGCGGAAACGCTCCGAGGATCACGACCCTGCTGCCATGGGTCGGAACGCTGAGCTTTGCCCCAGCCCTTGTCGTCCACCTTGGCCTTGCCGTAAACCGGAAGCATCCGACGAACAGCATCGACCGCACGACCAGCAGGGGGCCCGCCTCCATCATCCTGATCATCTCCTCCGCCGTCATCCTCGTGGGCCGGCGGAGCAGCATGCGGCCGCAGCGCGGCAGCCAGAGCGCCCGCGAGGCGCGAAGGCTGCACGCCGCGGTGCTCGGACAGGGCGTCCAAGGCACGCAGCAAGTGCGCCGTG